ATAAAAAAAATAAATGCTTAAAAAAAAGAAGAAGAGAGAGAGCCAGAAGAATGTGTTCTGGATCCTGGGAGGCTCTGAGGAGGAGGGACGATCTGAAGGTGGAAGGAAACCACTAGCACTGTAGCTCCTCCAAACTTGTCCAAAACCCTCCACACCCACCCCCATTCCCTAGCCTGAGCACACCTTGCCCCACCACTCCCACCTGCAGATCCACGGGGCTCTGGCTCAGGATTCAGGACTGCCCAGGAAGGGTGAGGGCAGGTCCGGCGCTGCTGCCATGACTGTTTCTGTTCTGGATCACGTGGCCCACAGTTGGTTTCTGTCTCGCTGTGTGACTGACTCTGAGTTTTATTCAGTGTTTAGAGGATATCTAGCATCTGATACCAGGGTACAAAGCTTATGTACCCAGTAGGGAGAGTAAGAAACTGGCTTTAGAAGAGACAGACCAAAGCCAACAAAAATAATAATGGACAATCTTAGCAATGTCAGTTCTTAGCCAAGGCAGATAAAATGTGGGGTTTTAATTTAATCAAACATTGCTACACTACAGAGCTATGGGCCACCCAGACCAATTTGCAAGCTTTCCTTTTTAGCCTAGCATTTCAGGGATCATGAGTGTGCAGATGGTATGCACCAGAGCGCCTCTGCAGATAAACATGAGGTTACCCAGCATCTCCTCGCCAGTTGGCTCTAAATTACAGCATTTACAGCGTGTCAACTCTGCTCTGAATGCTTCCTATCTGTCCTAATTTCATTGTCACACAACCCTCTGGCCATATTCCCAAGGCCACACAGCTGAGGAGGGGTAAAGCAGGGTGTTTGTTTGAACCTAGTCAGACTGATGAATCCTGAAAACGAAGACGCGTGCTACTTCATCCGTCTCTGTTGCCGCCCCAGCAGGAAGAGGACAGGGTCCTTGGTCTTCCTCACCCCAGGTTCCTCGCTCATGCTCCTGCACCTTCTGCCATCTGTCTTTGCAACCAGCACATGGGACCATCTCGCACATGAAACGTGCACAGACAGTTTGGTGAACAGAGAAGAGAATGGATGCTTCTTGCAGCAACTGCCCAGCCAGGAGCCAAGAGGGTTTCTTTCTGGGGCCTGCCATCTTTTCTTTTTTTAAGCTTACTTTTATATATTTTGAGAAAGAGAGAGAGAGAGAGAGAGAGAGCAAGCAGGGGAGGGGGAGAGAGAGACAGAGAGAGAGAATCCCAAGCAGGCTCCTCACTGTCAGCACAGAGCCCGACACGGGGCTCAAACCCATGAACATGAGATCATGACCTGAGCCGAAGTCAAGATTGGACACTTAACCTACTGAGCCACCCAGGCCCCCTTGGAGCTTGCCATCTTTAATTCTCAAGTGGTTAATCCAGCATTTAGGTTTGGTTTATGCCCAGACCAGAGTAGGCAGTTGACCTGAGCCCATCAAGATCTTTCTCAGCATTTACAAATGGACATGAGCAATTCTGGTTGAGGGCAGACTCCTGCCTGGGGTCGGCCATGCGGACTGAGCACTGGTCGGCCACTCTACAAAACTTCAGATTGGGGTCATTCTTCCAATGGATTCAGATGCACACTCCTCCTTCTGAATCAGTTCAGCTCACAGGAGTACTGCCAGCACCCACCCCTACTAATTTAATATACAGAGACACTGAGTGTGAAATAAAGACCATAACTGGCCTATGGCCCCAGGTCACCTTGTTCCAACTTTAAAAATCAAGATTTAGGGGCACTTGGGCGGCTCACTTGGTTGAGCACCCAACTTCAGCTCAGGTCATGATCTCATGGTTCGTGAGT